CTTGTGTTTGAGACACCGTTTAAGTTATGAAAAATTAATTCTACTGAGTTTAGTTCTGGCTAGTCATATTGAAATTTTTGCAAAAGTGTTACACCTTCAGCATAAATCAAGAAGCAAAATGAATAATTTTTAATCACTAGAATCAAATATATTCTTTTACAAAGAAAAGTTATCGCCAAGGTCACAGCTACCTTGCCGTGAAACAAAATGACTGATTTATTTTAAAACTGTCATCTTGTCATCATATAGTTCTTAATTTTAGTTAAAAAATTTTTAGTTAAAAAATTTTTTATCCTGTTTGTGTACTAATTTAAAAGCTGAAGTTGTTCAGATGTATTTGGAATACTGTATTCAATTGCTTAAATATAAATTCTTCGATATTTACTTCACTTCCACTTTAACGACATCATTAGGGTCACAGTAAACTTACAAACACCTTATCAAAATTCTTAGTGTCAGAATAGCCTGTTCCATGTATCTCTAAGACATTGTCTTCATCATACCAAAATGACCTTTGCCAACAGTCTAAACACAGGCCAGTCTGACAAAGAACATGGGGTGACAGACCGCAAAGTTCTACTATCTCAGCTAAACTTTGTGTCATGACAAAGACATGTCATTGCTCTGGTCCTATTTCAGCTTTACTAACTAGCAGCGAATTCAACTGCATAAGCCTCCAAGAAGTGCCTTTTCCTTGCATGTACACACTTGCAGAAAGCCTTAGCAGCAGCAGCAGCAGACCTCTCCTGGTCTTGCTTACAACTCTTGAGATTGGCACCATCGTGCAGACTGACCAAGTTTTGGGAAAGGGAGTTACTGAATGTGAAAGTCTTACATTGTGTTCAGTTTCTCCCCTTTCAGAAATAGTAGTTTGCAGACGTAGAACAAATCAGAGCCTGCTCAACTTTGGGGTGGGTGGAGTGGGCTGTTACAAAGGCAGGTTTGGATAAGAGACCTGCAGTATTTCCCACAGACACGGAACTGCACCCAAACCATGTCCTGCCCTGGGATTTCTTCCCCTGGGCACGTCGCACTCACTTGCCATTGCCATGAAAGATTGCAGCTTTCCGTTTTAGGTATTACTGATGGCTGTGCTAAAAGATTAATCTTCATAAAATTGTGTACTGTCACCTGCAGGGACAAAGGGGTGAACAGGGCAGACCAGGACTGACTGGCAGGCAAGGAGCTAAGGTATCATCTAATGGTTTTGTTGTTGCTTTTGAGGATGGGGATAAAGTATGTTCTGGGGTTATTATATCATTTTATTTATCACTGTGTATATAATACATTTTACTTTACCTAACGGATGACAAGTAATGATATCATGGAATAAAGTATGGATCAGCAGAACTAGATTATGTGTTTGATCTGGTGTCCATCTATGCCTGCTGATGTGTGTTCCTGCAATTTTTAGTGTATATAACTAGCTGAAGAGTTGTGTAAAGAACAGCGATTTGGGTGGTGAAGGACTGGTCAGGAGTAGAAGTTCTTTAATGTTATGAGCAATGTACTAAAGTAACAGTGGGTACCAAATGTCATGTCGTGTATTGTTTCCAATAAACAAACCCATTTCTGTCCTCTGATGAAGGGGATGAAAGGGAACCCTGGTCCACCTGGAGCTTGTGGTCGAGTAAGTGTAAATTATCTTCATCATATCATTTTTCTAAACCATTCAATTAAAAATAAGAAAAACTGACTGTATGACACAATAATGGACGTCCTATGATACTCTAATTGAGGGATGGCTTTCTCAAAGTAGTGATGTTGCTGGGAGGCTCACAGAGATGGCATCTTCCTTCATGTGAAGCTGAATGCACAATCAGAGCCTGGTTAGACCTCACTCAGTTCCAACAATTTTGACAGGAGTATGGACTGTCGCAGAACAGGAGTTAATTTCTAAAACAATCTCTAATCAGTTCCAGGACAGCTGGTGTTAATTTTAAAATCCTAAGAAAAAAAAAAAAAAAAAAAAGAGATGCCATGAATACAAGTTCTCTGTCTAGTCATGCTACCTCACTAGTGGTTTACTTAAAGGCCCCATGTACACCTAATGGAAACCTTTTGTCCAAATTGTTCCTAAGAAGTAACTTTGTAAAAAGCTGATTCATTTATGATATTGAGAGAGTACTAAAAAACCACTGCTTTTCAAAAAACATACAGGAGAAAGGTAAACATTTTGAATTTTAATTTTAAGCAGTTTCTTATTCCTTTTAAAATTGATACATTAGTAGTCAGCTTATATTTCAGTGTGATGTTTTTATATCAAGGCATAATAATTATTATAATAGTGATTTGCCAGTAATGGTGCTCATGCAAAATAATCCAGAAGAGAGCAAAAATTTGGGGTTGTTAAAAAAAAAAAAAATAATTACAGCAAATTGCCTTTTGATTTTGCCTCTCATTTGTAGAAACTTTGAAACATCATAATATTAAAATTTAATAAATTAAGTATTCATCTTTATAGGAATGACATTTTAATGCATATGTGCATGAAGTGGTTGATTTATGTCTGTTTCCATGTATGATTATTGAAAAGAGTAGTCTAGATATAAATGATGCTCCTTTGAGCCAATGGAATAGACTAGGCCATTCCTAGAGGTTTCTCTCAAGAATATTTTCTACTTTGTGCTACCATAATATTTTTGATGGGGTATTCAGCTTATATTTTGCCTATATAATTGCATCTGCAGGCAGAGGAGTTTTCTGGGAGCTGAGGAATTGAGCTGAAATCTTAGCCCTACATGTTTTCACAGCCTCTTGACATTACCTGTCTATAACAATTATGATTTCATTTCTGGCACCTTGTAACTACCATGTGATTAGGTAGTTAGGTCTCATGGTGTTGCAACATCAAAATTATGAATGAGATCATAATGTTGTTCTAATGAAATGTTCAATATGAGGTACTGTGCTTCTCTCTTCATTCTTACTATTCTTTCTTTTACCATCTTTCTCTTAAGACAGAGTATTATGACACTGTGATTGGTGAAAAAGGAGATGAAGGACCCCCTGGACCTCCAGGACCAAAAGGTCAACGTGGCATGCCTGGTGAGTGGGACATCACAATTAGAATCTCTTAGTAAGAGCTGTCCACTCAAAGGGCTTGTTGCAGGCTGGGTTCTTGAGCGCCCAGCAACCTGCTTCTGCCTTTACAAGAGTATTTCCAAATTGCTCCAAGCAAATTGCAGAATTGAAATGTTTCCTGAGACTTTGATTTATGGCTGTGTTTCCTTTTAAAAATAATGAATCTGGCACGCTCCTTTGCACTGAGTTGAGCAAATAAGCTCACTGACATCCTGTCTCATGACTTTAGTGGACTGCTGCATCAGCACATTATTTTGTTTGCCATAGGCAAACCATCAGGGCTGTAAGTCTCCTCTTAAAGATCATGTATTTTTTTCTCTTTTTTTTTTGGTAGCTTTCATAGTTTGTCTCTTGCTATCAAGTTTTTATTATGTTTATTTTGGCCATGCTGTAAAATTAAAATGTACTGATTTATTATTTGAGCTGTAACACAATATAACAAGGACTTGTGGGCTGAACTCTGAGGCAGCATCTTGTAGACCGTCTCGTACACATCTAGCAAGTCCTTGCTTTCTGTGTTTTGGTGTTCTAGTTTTAGGAATATTTATGTATCCAAGTGATTGTGTTGCATTCAGTGAATACACTTTGTTGCTATAAATCTACTTATGTATTTCCAAGGGATGACAACGGGAAAGCTGAGCCTTGCAAAGAAATTAATGCATTGTTAAGAGGTGGTATATTTACTAGAGCAAATAATAGTGGCAAAAATAAGCAAGTTTGCAGGCCTGTAAAGTCATGTAAAATCATTCTCAAGTAACTGTGTGCATCCCCACCTTAGATAAATGTGGTGGATCCTATTCCTATCTGTTGTAAACATCCTTATCTTGCCAGATTTCAGTGAGAATTGTCAGTATGCAACGGATGCATAAGTGGTAGGTGCCTATTCAGGCAAAAACAAATTCTTAAAAGATAAAGTAAGCTTGAAATGCAGAAGCCCAAAGTTTGCAGTCAATATTATTGAGTAGTGATTTTGCAGAGTATACAGTGGTTTAATTCAAGTTCTAAATACATTGCTTTTGCAGGGCCACAGGGTCCTCCCGGGTATGCTGGTAGACCAGGTATGTACAATGATCCAGTACCAACAATAAGACACTTTGTTCTTCCTGCCTGTTATACTGAACCAGCTTTGTGGAATCTTAACTTCAGATGACTTGAGAGGTATCTCTGAGTGGTAAAAAAATCTCATCCAAAAGCTTTGATGGGCCAAGCATTTAAGGAGAGGTTAAAGATAATTTTTAAATTTCTTAACAGTCTCATTGTCATTATTTAATATGTTACAAGATAAAAAAGATTTGTAGGATGAACTCAGTATGTTTATCTCTCACTCATTCTATTGAGCATTTACTTTGCTTTGAAATTCCACTTCTTCTTTAACTTTATTTTTGTATTTTTTCCTCTTTGGTTAGGTGTGACAAGACCTGGTCTGAGAGGTCCCCCAGGATTTCCTGGGCCAAAAGGAGCAAAAGGAGAAAAAGGACAAGCTGGCTTGTGTATTGTAGGCCCTCCAGGACTACCTGGTATTACTGGCAGACCTGGTCCTGTTGGATTACCAGGTCCTCCAGGAGAACCAGGTGACATTTCAGTATTCTACATTATGATGAACGAGAACAGATCCAGAGTCATCTCAATATCTAATATATGAGATTATATAAATACCTTATTTATAGAGTATGTTTTGAGTAATATGGTCGAATATAATTTCTCATTGGAAATTTTGTTTTAGGATTCTCATGAAATCGTATGTAGCAAAGGTCTGTCCTCCACTGCTAATGAGATTCTGTAGGGAAAATACAATGACTTCCCAGTATAAAGATTTCTTACCTTTTTGTATAACTCTGACTATAAAACTCTGGTGCATAAAACCAGGAAAGACTAATGAGAGAAAATCTGTTCTTTAAATTAATCATTCCAAGGGCTGTAGTAAATCTGTAAAAGTAAATTCAGAAGGGGCTAATCTGAAAGCTAGAAAAATCACTTGCATGCCTCCAGAGGTCTTAGCAGGCCTTAGAGCAGGCTTGAAGTTCTGCCAGCATGAAAATAAAACAGTAGCAGTTTATAAAAATTCTAATAAAATTACTACGTAGGAATACCTCTTTAACTAGGAGTACCAATAACATCATGTTTATTTTACATGTGGTATGGCCAAAAAAAGTTTTTCTGAAGCAATACCAATGTAGTGCTTCCCTTTTCTCTCTCTTTGAAAAATGTATTTATCCTCCAAATGCATCACCTTAGGAAGAGCTCAGTGCACGCTCTGTTTTTCCAAATTAATAGTAAATATGCCAGAATAAATGTGTCAAAGATACTTGAACAGCATTAATAATTTAGGATTTAAAAAAGTTTCCCTTCCATTCATGGTAAAAGAAAGAATTATGTTTCTGTTGATTCAAATAAAATGGAAATACTTTCCCCAGAAGCGACTATGCTTTTTACAGGCTAGACAGATGGATGGAACAGTCTGCTGAGGTTTTCTTTGGCATTATCATATTTATCCTGAAATATTTCCAGTTGCAGGTCTTTTGTATTTGTCCAGGTAGTTCTATTTTTTAAATGAATCATAGAATATCTCAAGTTGTGAGGGATCCTTAAGGATCAGAATACTCCAGCTCATCCCTGCACTTTTTTTCCCCTCTTAGCAACTAGAGAATTGTCTGAATAATCTGCTCATGTAATGGTGCCATGCTCATTTCATTAACAGGTAGAGTAACATTTAGAACAGGCCTACCAGGACCACCTGGAGAGCCAGGGTGTACAGGACCTCCGGGACCTCCAGGAGATACTGGCATGAAAGGTCAGTTTCAGAAAACTATCACTCAGAAGTTGATGGTGCAGTCCAGTAATCTTCATGGATCCTCATGAGATTTTGAATGAAATTTACCTCTTAAGCCATTTGAGTTCAGAGATTTAAGAAAATTGATGAGGAATAGCAAGATGTCTTCCTGCCCTTACAGTAAACAGCAGCTAAAAGAGCAGTGCACGTGCCAGTGCTGCACACCCGTTGTGCTGCACTGCAGCAGGGCTTAGATCTTCACTGGAACAAACAATTATTACAGTAGGGTATAAAACCCTACAATTATGCTAGGGTTGTCATATTGTTATATTAAACATGAACAGTTGTTCTCCGAGAGAAAGTTCCTTCTGCAAACTTCACCACAGGAGATGCTGAGTCTCTTTGCCGCTTGCTAGCCATTAAAGTCACACAGGCTGTTATGGAGCTTGCCAATATCCTTTGGTTTAAGCCAATATCCTTTCCTTCTGTTGAGAAAATTTGGCTTATCAGCAGAGTGACTGTACTCAAACGGTTTACTAAAACTAGAATTGAATTTAAACTGGGTGTTCCTGCAGTTTTAATTAAATGTAATCAGTTCTGATTCACTGTCTGACCGCAGGCAATTTTGTATTTTGTTGGAAGTCATCTCCCAACAAAATTAAGGCCGTGATTCTGCCACTGTCTGACCAAAAAGTGTTACCTGTCCTCTGTAACAGACTATGTAACGCATTAGTTAGGCTTGGGAGTGATTTTGTGTGGAACTACTAATGAATTGTTTTCATTTCAGGTGATGATGCTCATGTGTGTACTGATTGCAGCTATGTTCCAGGAATACCTGGTCGTCCTGGTTCTCCTGGGCCACATGGGCAGGATGGCGTGCCTGGTAAATTGTCTTGTTTCTGACAGGATAGTAGGAAATGCCAATGATTTTGCTTTTAGCATGAGAATCAGGTATGGGCATGTCTGCAGCCTGCAGTCCTTGAACTAGCCCTGAGGTTGTGATGAGTGTGAGAGCCTGATGCAGCTCCATCCACTGATATGAGCACAAGCCATAAAAGATGTGAAGTCAGAATGCTAATAGGCTTAGGCAATGAATCAGTCTATGATGATGCAGTCAATGTAACAAGCAGAAACATTCAATGCTGGGTGTGATTACTGGAGCTTGTCAAAATCCATGTCCATTTTTTCAATTTTCATCACAAAATATGCTGTTTCTTTTGCAGGTAGAGAAGGAACAACAGGTCCAAAGGGTTCTCCAGGTTCTTCAGGAGCACCAGGGTTTCCAGGAGCTCAAGTAAGACTTTGGTTTTTCAGATTATTTTTCAGATTGCACAAGAATTATTTCAAAGAAACCTCATGGTTGCTGTTACATGCAGTGACATACTGGGTGATCTCAACAGTTTTCTTTCTCTAGTAATGGATATGTCTGCATGGAAGGCCTAGGTAGAGACTGTAAGGTACGGTGACCTGGCTTTACAGGAGCCTATTTTGCTCAGTGCAGTAAGAAGCACAGCCCAGGCAGCAGGGCAGGTAAATACATGTGTGATTAACCTGTGCTGCATTTCGTGATGGCTAGGCTGCTGCTTCTGCCTGGTATGGGTAGTTTACAGTTAACTTCTGCTCATCTACATAATTCTATAATCATGGCAGTGGCTGTGAAGCATATATAGAGTTTTGTGTGCTGTGATTTTTGTCAGACTTCTTACTACTTCTGTTTCCAGCATACTCAGGACTTGCTCAAGCCCCAGCTGTGCAGAGGAGCTTCCTTCTCATAATACCCTCTTCAGGGGTGCAAAGGACATTCCCTCTTGGGAAACATTATGAAGAAGGAAGGCTGACAGCTGCTGCCACAGACATACCATTTGCTTGTTCTAACTTATGCCTGTAGTAGTAATTATTTATGGGAAATTACAGTTGGTACTGTCCAACAAAAAAAAAGTCATGCACAAGTATTTATTGTGGTGGTTGCAGTACAGGTGCTGAATGAGTCTACACACGGGCTTTTCCAGAAGGCTGCCAAGAGTTCATGAGCCCAAGATCACTAGAACCCAGCATGTTTTCAGCTTGCACTAGTTTTGGCTGGGATAGAGAACCCACTTTGTATCCTGAGGGGGAAAGAAAGGAGAGGAGAAGTTAACTATAAGTAGCACTAACTGTGGCGGTTACAGTGTTCCTGGGGAGATATTCCCACATGGAGGAGACACCTGTAATTAGATTTTAAGGTACTTTCCTGTCCTTCTTTTTGTGCCACCGAAGCACAACCAGGTAGCTAACAGTCTGATCCGTTAAATGATCCTGCATCATTCCTGCTTATAGTAGCCTAAATGAAATGATAATCAGGTCCAACTGGAATAAACGCAGGAGAAAAATACAAAAACAAAAAAAGCTCCAAAATCCCCTGTTCATTGATGTGCTGTTACAGTGAAAAAGGTGAGAACAAAGAGAACCACTATCAGGTATTTAATTTAAAAAAAAAAAAAAGGCAAGCCTGAAAACAGCTGACATGTGTCTAGTACTGAAATTCTTTTGATTGCTCTGTTCCAGGGACCTCCAGGTTTTAGAGGAGATCAAGGACATAAAGGATCAAAAGGTGAGCCAGGATATGTGTATCCCGAAGGGCCAAAAGGTGAGCGAGGAGATCCAGGGGCCAGGGGAGACAAAGGAAGAAAAGGTTCAAGTGGACTTCTGGGGAGAACTGGCTCTAAAGGATCCAAGGGTTCTAAAGGTGAAGAGGTGGGTACGCACTGTTTGTAATTAATACAGAATTCATGAAAAACTAAGTCAGTATTTGTATCTTGAATAACAGTTTTTTAATCTATTCAGGTAGTTTAACTGACTTAGTACCTGACTTAAGGGTACTATGCTCTACTCTAGCAATCAATATGCATAATCAATATGCAGGAAAGAATGAAAGTAGATATTCTTATGTAATACCAGAGAGACATGAGGCTAGTGTAGGTGCGTGTTGCTGAAAAACCTCAGCAGTCTATTGTGGTGTTAGTTTGGATATTTATATTACAGAGTTACCTTGTATTCCTATGATGAATAAGATTTGCTTTTGGGTTTTTTGGGTTTTTTTAAAGACAGTTTTCCCAACTACTTAAAATGCTTAAAAGGAAATAGTAATTCAAATAGTTCTGTACAGTCTTGAGGAGTTTAACCTTCAGTCAGGGCTGAGAGAAACCAAAAAAGTTGGGAGGACTAACCATAAAACTGGAAGCATAATCTTCACTAAGAATCATCTTTTTGTTCAGCAGAATCAAAAAATAACAATTATTGTTGTGTTGTGTCAGCTGAGAATCTGTTAAAGCGATTCAGATATAACTATCTCTAAACCTGACTCCACAGTATTCCCGGAAAATCTGAGCTGAGGTGTTTTGGTTTTTTTCTCAAACCTGTTTTAAAAAGAAAAAAGTACACAGCGTACAGCTATTGAAAAACGAAGCTGCTGTATTTATTTGTACTGTTTCACTCTTAATACCCTCTATTTGTAACCATTGATATTAAAATTTACATTCTTTTAATCCTAAGTAAATCAGAGGAAAAATTCCTCTTAAATTAGCAGAGCTACTCTGTTATTAAAGTAGTGCAAGATTATACTCAGACAGAGAATTGGATGTTTTGTTATGAAAGTTGGTGTGGAAAGCAAGTAACACTTTGTATACGTACACCTGTAATCATTAATAGGGATTGGCTGGTTCAAAAGGAGATAGAGGACTCCCTGGATTGCCTGGCAATGTTGGTCTTCCTGGAGAGATGGGGCTTCCTGGACTTCCAGGATATGGACCACAAGGAATAAGAGGTTTCAAAGGCTCTAAAGGAATACCTGGTCCACCTGGATTACCTGGAGAAGCTGGTTTGTACCTTCCTATTTTAACATGCTTTACCTATCTTAAAGAGTACTTGATTGAAATTGCAGAGATGGATTGAAGTCAAAAACATAATTTCTGAAACATAGGACGTTGTTCTTGCTGTGAGATTTCCACAGCATTGTTCCAAATTTGGTCCCACTGGAGCTAATAGCAAAAGTCTTAGGCTCATAAGATAACTGAAGTTAGAAAGAACCCTATGAAGTCTTTAGATCAAAATCCTGTTCAGAGCAGGGTCAGCTGTAAGTTCAGACCAAGTTATTCAAGGCATTATCCAGTTGGACCTTGAAAACCTCCAAGGACAAAGCCAGCACCTCATCTCTGGGCAACTTGCTCAAGTGCTTGACTGTCTTTATCATGAAAAAAAAAAAGTTCTTTAAATATGCATCCAGTCATCATTATTAATGTTAGCAAAGTCAGTAGGTGAAGATGACATGGTCCTCAGGAATATGGTTTAGTGATTTTTTTATTGCTTATTTCTTATTTTGTCAGAGTTAGGTTGATGGTTGGACTAGATGATCTTTAAGGTCCCTTCCATCCTAGACAATTCTATGATTCTATGATTCTAAGATATGAAGAACTTAATCATTTTTAAGTGCTGAAAACATACCAGTGTACGTATTTATAGGCCAGCGTAATCTGGAAGAACACAAAGTTGGGTGGCAGATATATTCAAGGTTTCTTAAAGGGAGTACCCATTAAATCTTTATGAAATGGAGATGCAGATTAAGCATTTCTCAATTGTATCATTTTCCTGCTGACTTTGTGCTTTCCTGCTGACCCAGAAGGGTCTCCACTAGACTGGAGGAGGGCTGAAAGACTGCAGGTGGACTTGATGTCAATAAAATTCTTTTGCTTTATAATAAAGCCAGGATCTGAACGCTTTTCAAAGTCTGTTGAGCTTCAGAAATATGGGAAGTGTAGAAGACTGCATTTTTAACCAAGTAGATTGATTACTAATATTTTTAGTGCTTAAGATTACCTGTTGCCAAACTATAAGGCTTTGTAATCTTTAATTTTGTATTTGCTGAAGGTCTGAAAGGAGAGACCACTAGGGTAACTCCATTACCTGCATTGCCAGGACCTCAAGGACCAGATGGTTTACCTGGACCCCCAGGACTGCCTGGTGAGTACATCTGCACTAAATGCAGTAAATTTCACTGGTTGGGATTTCTCTCCCAGATCTGGCCATATAAAACCATTGGCTTACTTTTAAATAACTATAAAAAGGATTTCTGTGGTACAGAAACTATGGAATTAGCTGTCACATTCCCTTTCAAGATTCCATGTAGTCCTACGCTACAGCTTAGTTCCTCCAAGAATCAGAAACATCTGGTGCATATGTTGCAGCTTGTGTATCCAGAAAGGCACCTCTGGCATAATTTTGACAAAAGCATATCCAAAACTATGCTGGGACTGCTGCAACCTTCAAAACAAAAGGAACAAAATTAGGTTAAAGTATTCTTAATCTTCCTCAAGCCCTTGGCCCTTCTCAGCCTTTGCCAGGGGCACAGTCAAAAAAGTAACTGTATTACCAAGTTTCCTGGTTCCTTTTTTGATATGAATGTTACTAACCATTGTTATAGGATATTAAGAATGTGTGTTTCCATTTTTGGGTGGGTGTTGGGCTTGGGTTCTAGGTGGGACTTTTTTGGTTGCTGGTGTTTTAAATTTTTGCAGAATTTTTGAATGCACTGAAGGACGGTAAGTGACATTCAGGCTAACCATAAGGCATCATTGCTTTGGTTTTGTAGAACAATAATCTTTAAAGCTGTCCTGAACAGCATAAGAAAATTTCTTGGAAGCTTTATGGTAGCTAGTTGCTGCTGTTACAAGCCTCAACCCTATAGAATGTAGTTGTATCTTCTTAACAAGTGGAAGATTTGAACGTAATTGTTCCTAGAAGTCTGGAATTTGGGCAGATTGCATAAAAACTTAACCCACAGACTCATGCCTGCTTTTGATACTGTAAACATAATTTAGCATTTTAACTGTGAAAATCTGCTGTGGAGGAGAAATAGTGTCTAAGTTCTAATATAATCTACAGTGGTATCCTAATTGATAAACTATATAACACCTAATCTTACAAGTTGATGTTCTGTGGTAAGATACATCACAGTTTTCTTATTTTCTTCATACAGGTAGAGTTGGAGCAAGAGGTCAGCAAGGTGATTCAGGACATCCAGGGCCAACAGGTGACACAGGCTTTCCAGGGCTTGGGTTTCCTGGAAACCCAGGTCCAAAAGGTAAAATACGCTTTTTGATCTTTTAAAAAAGCACACCTCCCAAAAAATCTGATTTTTTTTTTTTCAGTCCACATTAAAAACAATCAACAAATTAAAAAATATATATCAATGAACATTAATCATACAGGGAAGTGGTTTTAGCATTCTTGTAATTTACTGTCTTAAGGCATATAAATTGCAAGTTTGAAATGTTTTTAAGTATTTCAGAGAAACAAGTATCAAAGCTAGCAGTAGGAAAATATTTTAAAAGACTTTGATGCTTCCTGGAATACTGCCCAAACAGGTGCAGCACGTCTGAGTGCCACACGTACTTCAGATGGATTCTCTTTACCTGTTTATCTGTTACAGAGACAAAGCTGTATAAGTGTCAGTACTTTATTTTTAATCAATTTTAGTTACATACAATGCAATATCTGCTCTAATCTGCAGGTAACAGAAAGCATTTTGAATACTGTGAAATTGGCCATTTCTCTTGCAAATTCAAACTGCCCTGTGGACACCTGAAATATTAACAAATGCCAAATGTTCATAATCCTGTCAGGACGGGGGGCAGGGAAGGAGGGCGAAGTTAAGTTCTGATACTAAAACTACTACCAAGCTGTTAAAGAAAAGAATGGGGAACTGATATCAGAATAGCCTCACTTTGAAAAAAAACATTCCATGTGAAATACTTGATTTGTAGAAAGTAACCAAGCAGCGTTAGAGTAAACATTGAGTAAATATGTAAGGAACAAGATGCAGTGTGTCACAGCAACTCTGAAATCACAATATTGTCTTCAGCTTATGTAAGCTACTTTAGTGTCAGAGGGTCATTACTGCATCCATACAAATACCCACTTGTAAAATATGGTGATAACTGTAACATCTGTGCTGCCATTTAATTCCTTTTGCAGGAAATAAAGGGCTTGCAGGAGGCAGAGGGTCACCAGGTTGTGAAGGAAAGATTGGAGATCCAGGCCGAGCTGGAAACCTAGGACAACCAGGAGAGAAGGTTTGGTTGGAAATACAGCACAGACTTTCCCACAGGTCCCATTCATTAAATGTGATGCTGAGCAAATAAATTAAGTGTAAGGAATATAGGAGTTTCCTGACCAGTGATGCACAAACTATGAAATTAAATTCTTTGTATAAAAAAGGGCCTCAAGTCAAAATTTTACATTCAGATATGGGATTTCAGAACTCCCCAGTGTTTGGGATGTTTTGGTAGTGCGGTTTTCAGAGCACGAGGAGGATATTGCATTGCAAGTTTTTGCACAGCAAAAATTTGAGGCCACAACTTCTGAAAAGATGGCTATTCAGAAGTTGCAATTAAGCATGTATTTGATGGAGCTCAGTGACAAGCAAGTTTGCATTTAATTATAGCAAGTGATCTGTTGATTTGAAGCATAAAGCAAGTGGGTTGGAGGTAATACTGCAGCCACTCTTGCTGATGAACTGAAGCTAATGTACTGATGGCATATGTAAATATAGGGCTCTTGGCTACTCTGTAATCAGGATTCTAAATTGAACAAAATAATAACACCTAAATGTTTTGAAAAAGTGGCATTTCTTTGTGTGCTCATATGTCATTCTTTTGTGTGCTTTTTCACATGATGGAGTGTGGAGTTTAAGGCTGTAGACTTTTTTAAAAAAAATTATTATTTAATGTGTGTTTTATACCACAGAACGGCTAGATGTGGAGTGGCCTTTGGTTTATGTATATCAGTGACTGGTACAAGCTCAGCTCTACTGACCTGCTTTATGAACATATTGATTTGCTGGTACTCAAAGCTAGTACTCAAAAAACCAGCAGTTCAGTCAGCCTAAAAAAAACTAATTCAAACTTTCTATTTGGGGAATAGACTCGGGGCATTTGTGGTAAAACCAGTCTTCATAGAAAACAATGTTCAGAAGAATGAAAAAAACCAGCAACTGACTTTGAGTATTCCAAGATTCCAACACTGGTTGCTCACCTTGATTATGTCAATAAATATTTTGATAAAAATATAGGAAAAGTTGTATTTGCACAAACTTAACCAAATTTTCAGATACTGGTCTGAAGGTTTTCACAGCTACAGCAAACAGCACAATGCAGTAAAGGCCACATGGAGGGAAGTGTGTCTTGCCTTGCTTGGTAGCAATTTCTTAGAGTGAGGAGATAAAGTTCAAAAGCTAGATGAATTACTCCCCTGGTATAGAACCTGCAGCTGGTTGATAGAGAGCATCCAATTGGTCTGCTGAATTGGAGCCATTAAAAATTACATTGTAAAAGAACCCCTAATAAAAGAGGTTAATTGATCACACAGCAAAGAAAATATTTTGGCAAATTTGCAAAACATAGTGGATTGTTTACATTTCTCTCTATGTTGCAGGGTGACCCAGGCATGGTTATTCCTGGAGAGCCAGGTAGACTGGGTTCACCAGGAGGTCGTGGCATTCCTGGCTCAAAAGGTGAAACTGGATTTCCAGGACTTCCAGGCCTACCAGGGAATGCTGGACGTGATGGTGATGACGGCCTAAGAGGTACCGTTGTCAAACAAGCTCAAGGAACACAGCAAGTTATTTTAAGGAAAGGGAAGCCAAGACAAACAATGCTTACGCAAAGCCTGAAACTTCTAATTAAATAGTTTTGAATCCAGTCTCATTTCTTTTAGGAGACCGTGGCTCACCTGGAGTTCCTGGAGATCCAGGTTTTCCAGGGAAACCTGCTGAATGTCTTATTGGGCTGCCAGGTTTGCCAGGTGGCCAGGGAGCTACAGGCCCACCAGGTAGGACCTTCTGAATCAAATGTGCCATTTAGCTGGGTGGGTTGGGATTTTGTTTCTACCTTCCAATGGCATGAGGGAACTGAATTTGTTTCGGGATATTAGTTATAGGACAGTATGCAAGAAAATGTGAGTCCATTTAAAGAGGATGCACTTTCTGCAGATGGAAGGAAACACATGCACTGATTGAGATGGATTACAATTCAGATTCCATTGTATAATATAAAGAGTAATCACAAACTGGCCCAAATTCCACAGGAAAAAACATATTTCCATTGTGTCTCCTATGTGGGGCTGAACTTAGATTCCTTGGTGCAATGTCATTGATAAAGAAACAGAACAGAGGAAGAGCTGAGCTAGGTAAAAAACAATTTAGGGTCTCAAAAGTACCTGCATATACTGTGTGTGATTATCAGTCCAAAAGAAGCACACTTGAATACCTAGCATAGTCCTCCTGTATATGGCTTCAAAAAGATATTTCAATTTTTTTATTTTTTTTACTTTTTTTTTTTTTTAAGAGGATGAATGCATAATTGGTGGGGTTTTCGTGTTTGGATTTTTCTTCTTTTTCTGAGAAAGACAAGAATTGTCTACTCGCCTTCCCCCCGCCTTTTAAAAAAACAAACAGACAAACAATCCATAACTCTAAAGATTTCCCAAACGTGTATATTGTCTTACAGATCTAATATCTGCCTTAAACAGGAGGATTTTTTTTCATTCTCATAATGGCAAGATAGAGATGAAGGTTTATTTTTCAGATTGATGTACTATACTGCACTGTCATGCATTTTTCTTAGGAGGAAGAGGTTCACAAGGTTCAAAAGGAAACCTTGGTCCCCCTGGCTTGAGTATCCCAGGAATCTATGGAAAGCCTGGGGAGCCTGGATTAATAGGTCTTCAGGGAAATACAGGATTACCTGGTCTCAGGGGACAGTCTGGAAGGCCAGGGATCTCTGGGGTGCCAGGTAAGGATTTCCCAAATACTTGGATTGATTGATGTAGAAATTAAGTCAGTCTCTGCAGAAGGGTGTCAGTCATGCTTTTCCAAATTGAAGATGCTGAAATACTTTTCTATCAACAGCTTTCATATATCACTGAGATCTGTCTATATGGAAAACAAATAAATTGTCATTCCCTAAATGACAAGTATGTCTTGAAGCTGTCATGACATAGTACGGAATTTTATATTACAGTCTTCTGAGAACAGAGGGCTACCTTACATTGTTTTTTGTACAGTAATGTCCTTGCAGTAGGACATGAAATAGTTAACATTTAAAGCAACTCCCCAGCATAATGGAAGTGTAAAGTGTTTAGTTCTTACTCAGCATTCCTTTTCAAACAGATAGCTTATGGATGCTATCCTCTTTTTCTTAAAAAGCAAGTGCAGATCTTGGGTCTGACAGAGTTGAGTCAGATCAAAATCTGTCACGTTAGCCAGAGCTAACTTTAAGTGAGGTAGGTAATGCCTGTTTTATTTGATTTGTAGAATAAAAAAAGTCAGTCCTATGATGCTTTTTATCTCTAACAAAGGTTTTTTCATTGCTATCAAATCCTTCTTTATTCTGTGGGAAGGAGATGGTACATATCTTTCTATATATACAATCTATAAAACTAATGATAAACATGTATTATTTGACTCAGTTATGCAAACCTAGACTTCTGATGTGATTTGAGTGGAGTTGTATCCCAGCTAGCCTTCAGTTCCTGAGGCAGAAAGGAATGTCTTTCCTTTGCATCCCATTACAGGTCTCCCATCCCTGTGTGGATAACCCAGCTACATTATCCTCACTGTCAGTTATTTCACTCATTGATAGAAGCTGTTGCAGCTACTAATCTAGGTAGTTTGGGGTTTACTGTTTGTGTAAGGGCTGTTCATATCATTAAAGACTGGAAAACTTATTTAGTATGTTACAGAAATGGAGAAAAAAAATAAGCAATGAAACACTTAAGTGACAGGCACGTATAACTTTCTGAAGCTTTCTGTTTCACTGATCAAATACTAAAAAATATGCTCCTATTGCTTCAATTCCACAGGCTCAAGGGGAGAGCCAGGTATAATGGGCCTGTTAGGAACTCCTGGACCCCCTGGCATGATTGGAAGACCGGGCAACCCGGGTATCAGAGGCAAGTGGCCACAGTTTCTGCCTTCATTGTTACTTAAAATATAGAAACTTCCATGCTGAAGTAGTCTTGTGATCCATCTTGATGTATGTTATCACTCCTGAGTATGTGTGTTGCACCATAATTTCTTTGTCTTGGTAAATCTTTGGCTTCTATATATATGCAGTCTACGAGCTGAATGAGAACATTATTATTTAAAGAGCAGAGAGCTATTTTTCTCTATTTTTTCCATCCCAGTCATCTTCCAAATATCATTATTGTATCTACTCAACAGATTATACATATATTGAATATAAGAAATAATTACCATCTCTTGCCGTAATCTGTGCTTATAGATGTTTTATTGATGATTGGAGTAATTAAGAAGCTAGTTTAGGTTGTTGATTTGGAATGTTTATTGACATATGTAATTGTCCTTGAAGACAGGAGTCTCATTGCTTGCTTTATCCTATCATCTTCAGGTTTCTTCAGAAAATTTCATTATATTTCCTTGCAGGTTCTTCTGGCATCCCAGGACTAAAGGGAAGAAAAGGGTTTCTTGGAGCAAAAGGTGAACTAGGTGATAAAGGTTTTCCCGGACCATCTGAGACCTTGGTTGGTATTGGGACTAAAGGAGAACGAGGCTTAAAAGGTACACATTCATTATTCTGTCATTCAGAACTGGTTAGGGTTGTTATCTACGTTGCAGTTCCAGTAGAATCGAAAACATGGAAGAAAACTAACTCTACTACTGAGAGTATTCTTATGGGTTTTAAATAATTATTGCTGTACAATGTAACTGCTTTTTTATTTATGGGATAGTTGAATGTTACACTTATATTTATTTACATATCCACGTTCCTTAAAAAAAACTGTTACTGTAATGTTAAACCAATAATAATATGTCAGTAGTACTAGGAGGTTTATATACATATTTATACGTATATGCTATACATTCATGTTTTTACAGAGCTAGTAAACGGGTGCACTTACCAACTAAATGCTGGATTGCAAAGCAATTGAGTCTGCTGAGAAATACTTGGCTGTCAGAAGAATTCCGTTGTTTGCAATATTAATATATACTCTCTCTATATGAGTTGTACATGCGTAACTAACACTATCTGGCTTTTTGTGTAGACATTTTCCTATGGAAGATTTCAGAAAGTTTCTTTTGTCTCCATATGAGAAATACAGAAGGCGTTAACTGTGACATTGTGTCTTGCTTATGTGTGTTCACAGAGTGAAAAACCTATGCCCCACTTCTGCTTCATTAGCTTTAAGAGTTATAAAACTTTAAACTGCACATAAAACATATTCTAAGATGTTGTTTTGTAATATTTTTTTAAAATGAAACTTTGTTTTAGGACTTCAAGGAAGAATGGGTCTAAAAGGAGAAAAAGGAGATGCTGGTGTGCAAGGTCCCCCAGGTCTTGATGGGTCTGAAGGAATACCTGGTGTGCCAGGTATGGAATATGTATATTGAAAATTACTCTATCATGTGAAAAGTAGAGATAATATTGCCTCAGTGCTAGCACATAAATGTAGCTCCAGCAGCAGTAGTACATTCTTTATATTAACTCTGAAGCTTTTCTGAGAACTCTGAAACTAAGTAATTTCAAAAACTGCTGCTTGGACGTCATAGCAGCTACTGCCAAATGATTCTCTGTTTCCTTCCAAATATAGACCACTGTTCGGGGTGATAAATAGAAAATTATATTAAATCCTGAATAATAATAACTTTCAAATCTAAAAGCTGATGAGGCCAATGAATAAAAATTGGTATTTATAAACAGAAGTTTGGATTCCCAGTATTATTAAAAAAAAATAAGAATTCTAAAACATGAGCATTACAATTGTGCACAGAAATATTTCAGGAGCTTTTTTTTATCAGATTGATTTTATTTCCATTTTCAAAGCCTGCATGTGTGGCTTATATTTTTAAAGTTACCAGGTGTTCAGTAAAAAGCAGACTTAAAAAGAACCTGCAAAAATTATAAACCTACCTAAGCTACTTTACAAAGTTTTGCTCTGCTGTTACCATAACCTCATGCATAGTGATAAATGTTGACCCTTGAGTAAGACAATGCATCTGCTTTTTCAAATTAAAGTTAATAAAACATCTTTACCGCTCTATATTCTGTATTTTTGATTTTTTGAGATACATAAAAATGATGACAATTAGAAATAAGTTTAAACTTGTAATTAAAATTGCTCTTTTCATGATGGCATTTATCCGTGCTGTATGTCATTATAGTTTTATTGCTATATTCTGTCATTAACATCTTCTGTAGTCATTGCAGTGTAGCCATTGCAGGAAAAAGTGCACGTTGTGCTACTCCCTAACTTTTTATGGAACAAAATAAGACCTTATTATATTCAGGCATCGCTAGTACCCTGGAATTTAGACATCTGGACATTCTAGATGCAACAAGATCTGCTAGTCATTACACTGAATGTTAATTGAGCTAAATTGGGCTAAAGATAAGTAAGTGGGGGAAAACGTGCCTAAGCCATGTAAGAAAAAGCTCTTGAGTATACTAGTCATGAGAAATGCTTAATGAGTAAGTAGTAATGTGATTGCAACGTGCCCAGAATCCAGACTGAACTTTGGGGGACAATGAAAAGAGAGTCCAGTGCAATACAAAATCATGATCTTGATAAAAATTTGCAAAAGTATATTTCAGCTGTTGCCCCTAAGTCCTGTGGTCACAAAGCTTAATTTTAATGTTGATACATAGGATACTTGTTATTTCCTTGACTTTCTGACAACAGTAATGATAATTTTATCTCTGTCTGGGGTCAGAGGCTGCATATTGATTTATAAAACAATAAGGTGCCAGGACAAGGTTTGCAGTAGAGGATTATGTGTTCATGACAGCTCTACCAGCCAGCCAGTGTCTAAAGCAAACGTGAAGATGACATTTATTTCTTCATCTTGCAGGTGTCAAAGGATTTATGGGTCTTCCAGGGATTCCTGGAGGACAAGGATTCCCAGGTGCACCAGGAAACAAAGGGGACATGGGAATTCCAGGTTATTTTCTGTCAAGCCATATTACAAATTCATAGAACCGTATAGAAGCATTTGCACAGACCTGAGCAGTTTCTGTAAGCCCACTGCAAAATACTTACACTGGGATTTATTCTTTGCAGTACCTATAGATTTCTCACCACCCCAGCATTTGCTTCATTTGCAGAATGCAGTTCTCCCTCTCTCTAAATGAAATATAATTTCTTTAATTTATATGTTTTTGCATGTAAGAACCTCTTTTTAATGTGTTTAGAATGAAAATCACGTGGCTGTGTAAATCACTTTAATGAGGAATGAATATCTGAATATGAGCTGTAGATCGCAAAACATGAGGTGTGATATGCAAATATGAACCTTTTAAGAATGGTATTTTTCCAGGTCCAAAAGGACAGAAAGGATCTCCAGGCTTTCCAGGACTACCAGGTGACCCTGGTCCACCAGGCTATGGTGGCTTTCCAGGTGACAAAGGAGATCGTGGGTACCCATCTGCTGGGCCTCCAGGAGAACCTGGTCCAAAGGTATCAAGGCAATGGCAACATTGTCGTATTAGGCAATGAGCAGAGCCTTTGGCTATAGAAACAGAACAACATGCAAGCAAGAGCTGCAGAGTTTGTAGAAGCAGATGATTTGTAAGTGATAAGAAATATGAAAATTCTTGTGTCATTACTCAGGAGAAATTTTTTAATTCATTGTACTTCATCTTTCTCTTGGTGCAAGAATGTCTTACTTGTAAAGGTGGAACATCTTGGAAATAACTTTATTCTGTCGAAGTTGCTAATCCATTAAGAACAAGGACTTGCACTTAAAAAGTCAGCAGTAGCAATACTAGTATGTTAAAAAGTATAGGAAAATATAATCTTAGCAAGTGCAAAAGTTTTGTGATCTAAAATTGTGCTGTTGGTTTTTGACAGTCTAGTAATATCATTACATAAAAGGAATTGTTTTTTTTTCTTAGCAATATATATTACGTTTGGTATGTATTATGTTCAGTAATATATATTGCTAAGAAAAAAACAGTATCTTTTAACTTAGGTCAACTGGATAGAATTTTACTCCACATATTCTGGTTGTTGAACAACTGGGAGTTTTTTTACATATGAGAGATCTGAAATACATGGTTGAGGCTGCAAACTGTACTGTAACTCCTGTGATCTGTCTAAATTAGCTGTTTATTTTCTGTGTTAGCTGGGTAGCCACAATGAGATTACTGTTGTGAAAGTCAGTAGAAATTCAAGGAAAAAAATGCATTTCAGTATTTTGTATAGTTGCATATTATGTAGGGAATGTACATTTGAATCAAAAGAAGAGCTGTTAGAATAAAATTGAAGGGAAGTCAGTGAAAACATCTAAAGACTTTGGTTGGTTTGTACAGATTAAAGAAAGATATTTTTTTTCTTAGTTATGTCTAAAGGATCAGTGGCTGTTATGTGAAGACTTCATGTCTTCAAGTCAAAGAAGACTTTTCATCAGAAAATCTTAATGAACTGTGACTACACTTAACCTTTAAAATTATATATGATTTTTCTGTTGTTCAAATATGGAATGTAAATGTATTTAATGTAATGCGATTCTTTACATGTCTGTGCAACTGCTGTTTCTCAGGGAGATCCAGGCCCCCCAGGAGCTTTGGGCAGCAAAGGAGAAAAAGGATCCCAAGGTCATCCAGGACATCAGGGAGTACCAGGACCACATGGGATCAGAGGAGAAGCTGGAACTGCAGGAATCCCAGGTATGTTTTGGTTTGGAGGGGTGGTGAGATGTTGACATGCTTCTAGAAGAAGGTAATTTCTCAATAAACTACACAGGGTGCCCGTGGGGTGACATGTTCACGTTCAACTGCTGTAAACCTGAACAGCTCCTTTGTAGTCACCGCAGCCAGGGTTGCTTATGTCAGCTAGAGATGTTTCACAGCTGTCCAAAGCAGAAATTATAGCAAAGTTCTCAGACTGAGTCTGCATGTAGTGATTATGCCTCTTCTCCTCTCCCACACTCTTTCTTATTACAGGGAAGCGTGGACCTCCTGGAGATCTTGGTGTTAAAGGACAGCAGGGCCGCCCAGGACAACAGGGCATCGCAGGCCCTCCTGGTATGGTATATAGCATCTCTCCCAAATCACTGTCCCCTGCTTTTTTATTTTCTTTGTTATTTTCTTTGTAATGAGGCAGTTGATGTTGTTCTTCTGAGCTTTTTAGAATTTAACTGATGCAGTGGCAATCTCTGTTTATGCTAGTTCAAGGCTACGTTTACCTTCTCTGGTTCCAGCTAAGGTCTTTAACAGCTTGTTTTTAATGTTGTCAGTTCAGCTGAGGCAAGAGGTTTTAATTTTGTTTGACTACTGTAAAGCTTTTTGCCTTTTTTTTTTTTTTTTTTTTTCTCCATCCAGAGGTCTCAAGATGTTATATCCACACAATTGTAAGAAAGGCTTGTTCTACCTCCTAAATGGGAATAATATACTAAGATGTAGCTAGATGAGGAGGAGAAGAAAATGAATTAGAGTGGAAAGAGGGGAGAGAGTTGTAGTTGTTTATTAAAGCAACAGAAAAGATCAAACTATTCAACCTAAGGGGGAGTGTGTAAGTATGCAGCAACAGAAAGGTATGCAATGCAGACTTTATTAAAGTGAGTGCCAGTTATTGTCTTCAAAAAGAGCATTGAATATTCTTATATTCAGAGATCCTCATCAAAATTATGATGTTGTGGTTTTGTAGACTTAGTGAACTTGCACTGACAAAACGGCAGAGTTAGCAAAGATCAGAATCTAATCCCTGTTTAGAGACATCTTGAATTTGTAATAAAGCCAGGCAGAGAAACCATACTGCCTGTGTGGATTCCCACCAGCTTGGGATACATCAAAGGCAGGGTACTAAAGTGTCTTTGAAAGACAGGGAAGTTATTGCCTGTGAAAAGCAGTGGGGGTGTAAAATCTATTGAAGTCCAGTGAGCTCAATAAAAATTATACGCTGCTCTTTACAAATGTTTAGATACCAACACAGTTACGTCTATCTCTGAACCAGCTGAACTAATTATATTTTAATAAAGGGGATTCATATCTTCTCCCTTTGAAATGTAAAATAGCAGTAGTGCTATTTTTGTCCATTATTATTCACAGGTGCTGCTGGAGAGCCTGGAAAAAATGGACTTGTTGGTGAAAGAGGTAATCAAGGTCAGGACGGTATGCCTGGTCACCCAGGAGTAAAGGGAGAACCAGGTAACACCACTGAAATATTTTCATTGTATTTTACAATTGTTTTTTTCCCTAGTTAAATTGACAAGGATTATTTGGGAAGGATTAATAAGAGTTTCTGTGGAGCCAAAGACAAGTTTATAACTAGAAGGTTTTTCACTTTTACATAATTCACAGGTTTTTCTATGTAATTGTTGTTTGTGCTGTCAACAACCCAAATGCATAGGTCACTGCTCTATTGTACACGTGATTTGGCATAACATCACCTAAATTGTTAATGTCAGTAAGAGCCAGAGTATTGCTGTTTACAGTTCTTACGTGTTTAATCTCAAAGAGACTAAAAGAACCTAAAGTCCCCTGTATTACATGGAAATAAGATAAAAGGACTCACAGTATCTACACAGATGCTTAGTGAAGGTTTCCATGACCTGGCCCTTGGGTTGTAAAACCTTTTATTTAAATGTTACTCCTGATGTCATCAGCATCCACAGATAGATTTAGTCCTCCACTGAATTCTGGCAGAAATTGTCTTCATATTTTATAGTGAAAATGTTTCTTTGCATGTTAGTATAAACAGGTTACTGGGAAGGCATTCATAGTATTTGGTAAGTTTTTTCACAATAATTTTGAAGTAATCCCTGTTAACGTATTTTCTTTTTTAGATATTTACATTTATTCTACAGTTTTTCTTAAACACAGATTCTTCATCTGTTTTTTTTCTCTGAAAAAAGACAAAGCACATTATTGTAGAATGTACCTCAAATGCAGTTGATCAATAAGATTTCCTACTATAAAGAAACATTTACAAATTTAATTTGTATATATGGATAGAAGAAATGGAAATAATAAGTTATATTTTACATATAACTAAAATCTACATTTTGATTCAGTGAATTCTGAAGAAATGTATGAAATATTAGACAATTATGATGTTTTCTAATAGTTATTCAGGACTTTGAGTGTAACATGTCCTAATATTTCATAGGAGCACCAGGGAGAGGAATCCCTGGCCTTCAAGGTGTGCCTGGTCGTAGAGGTGAGTTGTCTTTGCAGAAAGCAAAAGCTTTTTTAGTTTTTATATACCAGAATAATCATCTTCATCTTCAGGTTGCCTCCTGCTTTTGGATGCTTGAAATGGCACTAAGAGTGTGAGAGGAAATCAAGAGTGATCCTGTGCTTTTGATCAGTGATTTGGTGCTATATATTAAAAGTCAAGTTCTTGCTTGCAAATTTAAGACTATTGGAAAAGGGGAATAAAGAAGCTAATGTCTATGGTTTTGTGAACATGATATATGTCTTGTAGAGCTTTTAAAATTTTATTTTGATACACAATTTGATTAACAGAGTATGTTCTAATGAAAAAAGATGATGCTGCTAAACACTAAGCATACTGTAAGAAAGCTACAGTGATTGCATTTTGTTTATCCCCCCTTTTACATTTATGAACAGTTGACTGAGGGGACTCTTCCCATTTTTTTAGGTTTTGCATTATATTTCTAGTACTGGTAGAAATCCATTGATTTGCTTTACTTTAAAGAAAAAATATTCTATCTTCATACCTTTCATATCTAGATCATGCACTCTGAGATCAACCTTAGAACAGTATCATTTTGGAGTATTCTCTTATTTGTTGTACTCATATTGGTGCTTTTAACTGGAATTTAGTTTAAAAGGATTTGCTGATTCCTATGGGCAAAGAAGCACTTCTTCTACTTATGTATAAAGAAATATTCCCTGCTCTGGTCTTTCTGTCCTCCTCTCACATTTATTCCTTTGTATGAGCAATCTCTGAAGTAGAGGGTTTAGTCCTGCCTTCTCACAACTATTTTGCTTTACAGTAGCAAGGTGCTTTGGGGACTTCTCTGTACTAAAAATAAAGGCTGAATTTCACCTTTGCGGTGTAGTAAGTGCCCATATTCTGTGTCATCACATCACCTTATCCTCTTGACAGCTCTCCCCAAATGTAATACTTAACTTTGCAGGAATCAAAGGAGACATGGGACTACCTGGTTTTCCTGGGCCACCAGGTATAAAAGGTCATCCGGGTGATCAAGGACCCATTGGACCTCCTGGCTTAGTGGGGTTACCTGGATTTCAAGGCGCAACAGGCATGGCAATTATGGGCCAAAAAGGGAATAGAGGTATTGCTGGTGCAGATGGAAGACCAGGTGTGTTGTTGTAACTCCTTATTTATCTGAAATGATATTATACTGATAATTGAAAGCAGAATTCAGCTTGTCCAGAACTCAAGGTTAAAAGGGGTCTTCCCCAGGAGAGTTTCATAATTAAACAGGTAGTTCCTTTATCCGTTAATGCAATTTTACCATTGCAAACACCATGATGGTCTACGCAGTATGATGTAAATGAAAATTAAAAATGCTAAGCCTTGCAGTTCACTCAACTGCATTATTTTGCTTTCTTCCTATGAGGTCTGGAGGGTAGCTAACATCCAACTTTAAAGAAGTGAGATAGTATGAGTGTGATTACAGTCATAACTACAGCTGGAGGATATCCAAAAAACTGTAGTGCTAGAGAGTTCTGCAAGAACTCAACTCTGATCTCAGATTAAATGAGCAGTCTAGGAAAATTGAGTTGATTTTTTTAAAAATGTCTGTATTTCCTTGGGAATCACTGAGGTGGTAAACATGAGTACCATTATAGAGTTGCTGAATGTTGTACTGCATTGTATGTAATGAATGTGAAGTGCTGTTGGCAGCAGTCTTTACTTACTCTGATGTTTCTGTATAGGTGCTCCTGGTTTTCCAGGGCCTCCTGGTCTTCCCACACTCAGCATGAAAGGAAGCAAAGGCGTTAGAGGGGCAGATGGGATACCAGGGCCAACAGGCCCAGCTGGAGACACTGGTCCTCCCGGTCCAAAAGTCAGTGAAAAGAATATTGCTTGTTTCTTACTCCATTATTAATTTTGCTCTTACCATGAAAGTAACACTGAGGACAATTAAAATAAAAACAAAACAACAAACCAAACAGAAAAAACCCCACCCCATTCTCCCCAAAAAATCTTCTAATAGAGGAAAGATATTAAAATAGATACAAAAAGCAGTTTTTATGGAGTTAAGTGGACCAAAATGAAACTATTGCAAATTTCTGACATCATTTCCTTGGCCATTCTGTATTACAGAATAACATTGTCAATGATACGCCTATTTCTGACATGCTTACAAATGGAGGAGATAATTCCAGTTGTAGCATATTCTGTGAACTTAATGCTTTGAATATTCTGAACAAAAAGAAAATGTTCTTCATAGCAGCAGATGCTGCTTCCTGCTTATTATTGGTGTTTTCTGATTTGCAGGGAATTGAAGGTCAATCAGGCTATCCTGGTGCTAGAGGGGACCCTGGATTTCTTGGATTCCCAGGTGTAAAAGGTATTCATGTATTTATTACATACATGTCCATGTGCCAAATGCAATCATTTACATGTTGCATTACAATATTATGTATGTAATAAATAGTAACAGGTGTGGTCCTAGAGAGCTGGCTAAAAATCCTTTTAATTTAGACATTTTTCTAGTGATTTAAATCTGATATAAGTCTTCATTACTCCAGTATTTTCATTTTTCGATTGCATGATTTACAGTCACACAAAATTGTCATTACCTGTTGTGTATTTTTCATTTTTTCTAATTTGAAAAGTCACCGCATAGATAGTAACTATACTTTCTTAAGCAAAAAGCTCTCATTTCATGGCTTAGTCAGTCAAATCTCCTGACTTGATAACAAACAACATCTTACATTTTTTTTATTTCCAGCAGAGCCATGGATAGTAATCTGAATGTAACCTTATTTTTTCTGCAGTGAAAATAATTGCTTATTCAGTTTTAAACACTTGAAAAACTATACAACCCTCCTAACACCCATCAGCATAACTGACAGTAGGAGTTAAAGAGAGTTGAGCTGCACAGCGTCACTGAACAGCATCACTTGACCTGCAAACTCAGTGACAAAAACACATAAGATAAAAAGACATAGTCTAAAGTTGAGATTGTAGGCTAGATTTTTGGGAGCAGACATTATATGAAGATAGGAATGGAAACATCCTCTTGTAAACTGAATACACTTGACCTATAAATTACACAGTAACAGCAGAGATGTAGAAGTCCACTTTCACACTTCAGATGAGTCTATAGGCTGTGTTACTCTTTGGGAAGGTTGCATGGATCATGCAGGACTCGTAAATAAGTCTCTGAAACTTTGACAGTTGATTTGACATTTTAAACCAGACAGATATATCTTCAATCTTCCTTTTTTAGGAGAAAAGGGTAATCAAGGACCCCCTGGACCACAAGGTGCAGAAGGGCCAAGGGGACCAAAGGGCCAGCGTGGTAACCAACCTTCTCATTCTAATGCCAGAAGACTTAGATTGATTTGTTTATTTTGGTTTGTAGTTTGTTTGCTTTCTTTTAATATAAAGCAATAGCTTTTCATTATATTTTTGCTCCTAGGTCCACCTGGAGTCCCTGAGAGAGTATTTTCCATCCCAGGAAGCAAGGGTCCTCCTGGACTGCCAGGAATCCCAGGAACGCCAGGTGATCAAGGAATTCAAGGGATTCCTGGACTAGAAGGTGGTTTATATTTTTATCTCTGTACATGTTTGTGTGCTGCTTAGTGAAACATTTTGATTTGGTGGGAAAACATTCTTCTGCGTAGAAAATCGACGTGTCTTTAAATATACCTCTCCATATTTAAAAATAGCTCTTTATACCTTGTTAACAACTTTATAACCTGTCCCATTCCATCTGCCCTCCACCCTCACAGTCAGCGAGCGAGTAAGATTATCCCTCAACATAGATGTAAGCAAAATAATGGAATAAAAAGTAAACTTGGATCAGAACACTCATCATATTTATAGAACCAGAACCATGCTCAGGAAGTTTGTCATTTTGGGGGGGAAATTACCACACGTAATAAAAGTATTCTAGATGTGCTATGAAGTGGTTCTGTCTGTCATAGTCTGGGGGTGAGAAGGGAAAGGAGAGGCTGGGTGCTTCTCCATTGGCACTGGAAGTGAAGCCTGCCCCGGCTCTGAGGGATGGGGAAGCGAGAAGCAGGTGGGATGAGGTGGGTGTGCAATGGTCAATACCACGGCTTTCCATCCCAGGAAGGAAACTCCTTAGGGGGACAGGCTTGCCAGAAGGCAGGCCCCACTCAGGAATGACAGTTGCCTCCAGCATAACAAAGCAGGCACTAAAGAATTGTTCTTTTACGTTTTCCTTAAAATTTTTTTCAAAAGGAGCTGCATTATTTATAGAATTGCAAACTGTGACCACAAAGATTATGGCCTGCTAATATATTTTTGAAATATTTCTATTGTATGACACATCCTAAAAGAAAAAGCGATTTGCTTTGGTTTCTGTAAACATTTCTTATGAGACTATTTTTCTGCAATATGTTCAATATTTCCTTGTAATTTTCCTGATGGGAAATATGGTGACAGCAACACTACAGATAGCCTCAAAACTTACTAAATTCATGCTCATGTTTTTATTTTAATGCAGCTACATTTCATGAGGATTTTAACTTTATTCATTAACAGTTATTAAAATCTAGAATAACTAATGCTACATGATCCTGGATTTTTCTTGATTACAATTCAGGACCTAAAGGATTAAAAGGTCTACCAGGACGTTTTGGTCATCCAGGTCAACCGGGACTGCCTGGTCCAAAAGGAGACAGAGGATTTCCAGGACAAAGAGGTAGAGGAAAGCAGACAACTCTGACTGCTACTACTGAATTTACAGATAAACTGTCTTCCTGTTTCTCTAAATCCTTCCTCTTGCACGTATTGAGATTGTGTAACATTTATAGTAACTTTAGGGCCACAAACACATGTAAGCACATTCTTAACTTTTAACAGATGCATGTTCACAACTGAAATAATAATGTCTCGACTGTGCTCCTCTGCTATTAATAACATTTATTTATCCACTTGAAAACCCTAGGTATAAGTGTGCCTTTTTATGACATCAAAATAGAACTAAATATTTTTATTTAGTCATCATAAAATGTTTTTACTTTACAACTTTTTTGGTAAAAATGGCCATGGTTGTTTAAAATAGCTCACTATTCCTTGAAACTGTGCAATGTAAAGCTACCTGAGCTAGGTCTGAAGGAGTTAATACATCTAACAACAAATACTACCAATTTTCAAGTTGTGTATTCTTACTGATTTTTTTTTGTTAGTTTTCAAGTGGTTCCACTAATTTAAATGAAGTAAAAATTCAAACAAAATTAGAATATTTGCAGTCGTATTTCTTTCCTCTCCACAGGAGAACCTGGACTAATTGGCTTTCCAGGTCTACAGGGGTTACCTGGATTACCAGGTTCTACCACTGCTGGTCCAACAAGAAGAGGTTTTATCTTTACCCGGCATAGTCAAACAACAAAGATTCCTTCATGCCCACATGGGACATCGCAGATCTATTTTGGCTACTCGCTGCTTTTTGTACAAGGAAATGAACGAGCACATGGACAAGATCTTGGTACTGTATTGGTAAAAATTTTTGGATAATTTTCTTTATAGTCCAGTAATGCTAAGTTGTCATGAAATCAAACTGACAGTAAGTGTCCAAGATGAGCACTGGTTTCAGCCATCACTCCCCAGAGTGGTCTGCTGCTTTCAGTCAATTTAGGAATCATGGCTTTGAAAGACACCTTTCTTTCCTGCACTCCCATGTTCCCTTTTTGCTGTGCCTAGACATTTCTGAGGAGGAATTCAGTTACTTATGGATAGATGTCTAGTATAGATGTTCATAAAATCTGCACAGGTCTGACAGTAGTAACACAGGATGTGAGAGAGTCTTGCTTTTTTTGTAGACTAAAGGGGATGCTTTAGGGTGTCAAAAATGGCACCAGAAGCTTTTGTTTAAGCAGCAGAGTCCCTACCGCTGTGATAAGGACCAATGTCATTCAAGAAGATACTATTAGTTTAACAGATTTTGTTTCTAGCCCTTATTTTTTATATACATATTTGTATACATGCCATAAGCATTTTGCTTTAGGGTAATTCCATTGTACAGACACTTCTTTCTTTATACTTATTCTCTATATATTCACTATAGTAGACTGGATGCCATTGTGTCTCTCTTCTGTTTGCTGCACTAAATATAATCTCCTATCATTCACAAAGCTCTCCTCGTTTGCCTTTTAGGAACAGCTGGTAGCTGCTTGCAGAGATTTACCACCATGCCATTCTTGTTCTGTAACACCAACGATGTTTGTAGTTTTGCTTCTCGCAATGACTATTCGTACTGGCTGTCAACTGCGACAGTGATGCCAGTGGATATGGCACCCATTTCTGGCAGGGCACTAGAGCCCCATATAAGCAGGTAAGAGTATAAGAATTTTAGCTCTTCTGGCCTGGAACCACACAGACATCCTAATTCGTCTTGAACTGCAAATCTCAGGCAAAGACTTGCCTATCTCAGCCAGTACAAACACTGTTCTTAACCAGCTGATTTTTTTTTTAATTAGTCAGCTGAATTCAGTGATGCACTAAGAAAAGTTAGATTAAAGCTAGGGTCCCACCACAGGGCTTGACCTGCAAAGCTGACGTGAGAATATAGCCCACAATCCTACTGACTGCAGTTAAAAAACGGAGACGGACTAAAATAAAATAAAGACAGCTTCATTATTTGGCATACAGTACAAATCAAGTTCTGCTTTCAATTATGTGTGATACAGTTGCTGAAGAACATTGTAAATTGGGGCTGAAGGTTCTCTCCTATGAAACGCTCTTGTGCAAATGTGGCCCTTTCTAGTTGTTTTAGAATAGCTGAGCAGAATAGAAGAATAGAAGAGCATCATAAGACGAAATACTCTAAAAGCATGGAAGACCAAGACTAGCAAAAACAAAGATGGGAAGGCGAGCTTTGCACTCCATCTTCTGGACTGCCCTACGCAGTTATTGCAATCTAGTAGCTCAGCTTCATAGTTTCTTCGTTTAAGAAATAAAAATTACTTTTTCTAATCTTAGCAAATAAAGGTATAGAACTTTGATCTCAACCATAACAACATAAACTAGTTAGCACATGAGGGTAAAATTTAGCTCCTTACTTCAGTAAGGAAATTCAAAAGTTCTGGGACTAATTCTCATCTTACACCAGTTTTTCTCTGGTGTTATTAGTAGAGATTGCAAAGCAAGGTATTTGGGTTGCCTTCCTTTTACTTATCATCTCCTCATTAAACAGAAAAAACCTGTGTGAGTTGTGACATTTACATTACAACTCACACATGCAGCTACCCTGCCATTAGGTAGCTACTATCCTAGAAGATACAATTTTTGTCTGCTTTCATATTTTTCCTCATATCTGCACTGAATGCAGTTTCTTCTTACAGGTGTATTGTGTGTGAAGGAGCTGCAATGGTAATAGCAGTTCACAGCCAAACAACAGTAGTTCCTCCATGTCCAGAAGGCTGGGTATCTCTCTGGAAGGGTTTTTCTTTTGTTATGGTAAGGACCTAAAGACTTGAATAATTAATGTTATGTCCTCTTACTTTCACTGGTGTTTTCATCTGCTCAAAGCTTGTTTGTTTCTTAATAATCGTTAAATTATTTTTTCCTTTGCCAAGAAGTAGACAATAATTCTGTTAACTCTTACTCAATACCAGAAGCATAGGAACAACTATTCTGATCTGTTCTCAAAAATAGGTGGCAGGAAGAAAAGGGGAAAAGATGAAAGGAGAACCATAGGATTTTAGTCTGACAGAAATAACTGCATGCTCTTATTGTCATGTGCCATGTTAAGATCTAGGGAACAGGTTTGGCGAGTGGAGTGGTTAAACCAGTCCTGAACAAAAATACACAGAAATAACTGACCCACTTCCATGCCGGGCAGTTCTTTTATAAATTTGATCTTGGGCTGAATTCAGCAGAAGGCTAAAATCAAAACAAATGCAGTACACTGTCTACAAAAGATTGCCTTGGCTGTTTTGATGCCATAACGAGATATGAGTGAAGAAAGTACATTCATGTGACTGCAAATTGAGAACCAATTATGGGAATAAGGGTATATCTATATTAGGGGAGGCAGCACTTCATCTTTGTTATCCATGCCTGTGGGATCTCATAAGGATGTCAGCAAATGAGAATAAAAGATAGAATTATAGCTCTCTTTTTTTTTTTTTTTTTTTTTTTTTTTTTTGCTTTGTATTACAAATACTTTTTTTTTTTTTTTTTTTTTTTTTTTTCATGATCTAAAGTCCTTTTAGGTCTAACATGAAACTTGTCTCTCCTGGGATTTCATCCTAAGTAATCATAATCTTGGAAAAGAATGAGAGGATTTTTTGAGCATCTGGTTAAAATCATTTGCTAACGTCACCAAATTTAAATTTTATTTTCTAGCCAATTTTCTACTGTCATAAATTATTTTAGAGCTATTTCTACAAGCATTTACCAACACAGAGGAGGAAAATTCCTTCGCTTTCTGTTTGGAGAAGCAACCACTGCAACAAAAACCAGGAACACACAAGAAATAGGGGATTTGGCCTATTTGTAATTCAGTTACTCTAGTCCTCAACTGGACAGAAGCCAGCTACTTTCTAGTCTTTGTGCTGGTTACAGCTTCATGCCTTTTCATGGAGCAGAAAAAGGCTGTTGCAGGGACTGAAGAAATGCCATAACTGTCCTTGACTTTTCATAAGGCTTCTGTGCTTCATTATAACTTTGATAAAACTAATCTGTGTTCATTTTGTTTTGTCCAAAATGTACCACAGACCATATGGTATGTTTTAGAAAGAGATATTTTTTTCTGCCTGCAGTTTACTAAAAGCTGAGGGACAAGTTCTCATAAAAAATTGTATTGGTGGTTACAGTACACAAGTGCCGGCTCAGAAGCTTCTGGCCAAGCATTGGCATCTCCTGGGTCTTGTTTGGAAGAATTTCGAGCCATCCCATTCATAGAGTGCCATGGCAGGGGGACGTGCAACTACTACACAAATTCCTACAGCTTCTGGTTGGCATCATTAAATCCAAGAAGAATGTTCAGGTAAACTGTACCTCCCTGCATCCGTGCTGCAAGTGCCCGAGGAGACAACTGCCTGCGTAACACGTGGGGGCTCCCCTAATAATTCCCCTCAGATTAGACGTCCCCCCTTTGTTAGGTTTAGAGTCATTCTGTAGCACAAAGATGCCTTAAGCAAGTCAAGGATTTCAGTGGTGTTGTCAATAACCCTGTGTTTTTAAAGAAAAAAAAAAAGTAAATGTTATTTTTCTTTCTTTTAGGAGACCTCTGCCACAGACTTTGAAAGCAGGAGAACTAGAAAATATCATCAGCCGTTGTCAGGTCTGCATGAAGAGACCACTCTAAACAGGGGCCACTCTGGATGGAACATGAAACTCTGCTTTAATTACAAAGAATTGCCTAACTCTGAAGAGCTATAATTTATTGAAGTCCAACTGCATCTGGAAAGAAAATAGTAAACTGCCCGTGCAGCACTGCGGTGAGGTAGGGCAACAGTTTGACTTTTGTCTTTGGCAAATGACAGAGCACTTTGTTGGAGAAAGCTTGTAAGGGCAGCCTGCAGGGGCTTCTCCGGAACTGTCTCACTTCTCAGCTGCATCTTCATGATAAAACTATGGCAGTGCTGGGTCTTTCATGGAGGGTGTTCTTGCTGCCTTTGTGTCATGTGCTTTTCAAACCGCAAGACGAACTAAATGCTCTAATATCAGCTTACATATGTTCAGTGTTCAAAGTGGATATAATTTAAGATGAAAATCTGGCACTTATGAGAGATTGGGTTCAATAGGAAATATTTTCAGTGCACTTTTAAATATATATTGATTCACTTAGGGTTGTTTTGTTTTGATTTTCTTGTCTAATAAACAAGTATCTCCCCGCTTACCTTGCGCTTCCTCTGGCTGCCAAACAGGAATACAATCTTTTTTGTATCATTATGAAAGTGATGTTTCGTGGCTGGCCAGAAAGGGAGCTCCTCCGTGCCCTGGTGAGACAGTACAGTGGGGACACGTGGTAGCTGTGTTCCCCAGAGGGACTGTACCTGATTAAGTGAAAGTGCTGGAAAGTTTTCATTAGATTCCATAGCTTTTGACACAGATCAGGAGATCTTTTAAATTCTTCAAAAATTGACAGTATTTGGCCTTTATTATGATCGCAAGTTTTTGTCTCTACTGAAGAACAAGTATTTAGCATAGCATAATTTGGGATTTTGATAGAGTTAACAATCACTGTATGGCTCAAGGGCTCCCATGGCATTATCAGGTTATCACACACCCATCAGGATGTGATCTCTTCCTGTTTTATTTTAATAGAAAACAAAAAATATAATATTCACATTTTATAATATTCCATACTTAAATATTTATCAAAAATTATGTTCTGTATTTAAATATTTATCACACATTTCTGCAAAACATTTATTCCATCCAGTTAAATGTACGCATTCAAAATTTTTTGAAATACTGATATTTATATTGTACCATCTGAGCACTGACTGACATAAGAGAATCCAACTGTAGACAAACGTAAAGACTTGAAAAGCACTTTCATTTACTCATATAACTTATATAAAATTGTAGCTCTGAGGTGGTTTTTTTATATTTATAACATTGCACTTGCAAGGCTATTTAAAACTGTAATGTTAACATTTAAAATGTTGATATTTTTTAATACTTGCACAATCTATGAGAATTCAAGTATTTAGTGTTATAGAAGAAGCCTAATTCATCTGAATAGTTCTGTAAATGCATCATTTTAAATGTAGGGTCTAGCAATTCACTGAAATAACCAAGATTTCGCATTTAGGTCTTTTTTAAGCCAGTGAAATTTTATATTGTTTCTGTTAAAATACTTGCATTGTGTTTGTCTGACTGTTTGAATTTTCAGTGTTAACCTAACTAAGAAAAAGTTTCATCTGTGTTTCATGCCAGTATCTTCTGATGGAGCTAACAAGAGGATACATTTACATGAACTGAATGCATATTTTAAAGTTATTGTTTGCTTGAACAGTCATAGTACTTCTGTTTGCAAGTTATAATTGTGAATTTGCAGGTTTTTATGAAGAATCTCTATGCAGATGCACTACTGATAAGAAGGTGTTAATGTCAAGTTAATATTTAGTCTTCTGTTTGAACCAGGTTTGGGGATGGGGTGTTTTCCTTAAAACAATCACATAATAGATTTTTCCATAAACTCTGAAGTTTGCTTTAAATACTCAAAGATAAAATCCACACCCATTGCTTGCTAGGTTATTGGGTTTGGGTTTTTTTTTTTTTTTTCCATTAAGGCTCATTACAGTGACCCAAAGGCATTGCACACTGTATACAACTGATGATGGTGGAGACCTTCATGTAAAATTTGGTAGTAAAATGCCGAATGTAAGTACCTGAGGCTGACGCCTGCTGGGAATGGTCAGTAGAGGATAATGGGGAATGAGAAGGGAATGGGTTGTAGTTTTAAAGTCGAAAGGTAAGTTACAAAGGGTTATGTCTCATGGAATTGCACATAACTGGAAGTTATGTCTTGTTCCCAGTTTTGAATTCTGGTGCTCACTTATTGTGTGGCCTTCAACAAGTTACTAAAGAAGGATTTTCATAAATAGCTTTTGAGTTTGATCTCAGTCTTTCTTTCGAAAGTATGAAACACAACTGCAGGGACACATACGTTCATCAAGGCCAGCAAAGTACAAGCTGGTCACTGAAAATAAAAAAAAAAAAAGGTTAAAAAAAAAAAAAGATGATCTTAACTTTTCTCTGCAGATGCAGATCATTTTACTTCTCCACTGTTAATGATTATTGTGAACATTAGTTAACTCAGGTCTGTAAATGCTTTGAGAGCCTTAACTGGAAAATGCTGAAGAGTTGCAAGGTGTTAATATATTGTACTGAAAGAATGGAAACATGAAAAATCAGAAATAAAAAGCAAACAATGGGGGGGGAGGGAAGGCGGGGAGAAAGGATGAAAGCAAACCTTCTGTTAAATACAGCCAAATAAAAATATTTTGACTAAATAAAAGACCCATTTTACTTGTTTGTTTGTTGTTGTTGTTGTTCTTCCCGCTGCTAAGGATCTTTTCTACTACCTATGCATAGAATGATATGCAATATCATTTACACACACAAAAAAAAGTAGCCTCTGACTAAAAAAGCGGCATCTGATTAAGAGACAGTTGGGGCAGTTTTCCCTCAGAAAGATGCTCGATCTCCCCTACTTTGGACTGCACTAGAAGCCTGGCACTTCAGTGTAGATACCCAGGCTTGATGTCTGCATGCTGTATGCTGGCTTTCTTCCTAGACATATTTCTACTTAGGATGCTGTGATGGACTGCTGACAGACAGTGGTTTCGATCTGGAACAACTCAGCCATGTTATTCTCTTCTCTTCTGTTTTGCATTCATTCCTGTTTTCTGCTGGATTTCTATGCATGAAGCAGAGGTGGGTGGCAAGTTACTGTTGACAGAAATAGCATGTGAGAAAGGGTTGTGATGACGCTGAAGGAAAAACTAGGAAGATAAGGGTGGCTGGCTGATAGGGCCTCACTCTCACAACTTGCCTAGGGAACCAGTGTAACTCCAGGTTCAAGAAAGAAAAGGACTAGCCACCAAGGAGGCCAAAACCTGCAAAAACTAGAAAAGAGTAGGACTTGCTGTGTTTCCTCAGACAAGACAGTACCTGCAGATACTCTGTAAGTGCACATGGACAGACAAACAAGCAGATTGTCTGCAACAGAAAGAAAAGGACACACCTAAAACTATCATGAGGATTTCAGTGTGAAAATAAGACACATCTGAACATCAAACTGATAGACCAGTGTTGTATGTAACATTCTTAAATAACTGAACAAGAAAATCAAGGGTAACTGCAGAGAGATCTGAAAACTGTCAAAGAAAATTATCTGTAGTAGGACTTCTACACAATTAAAAAATGGAAGGAGCATCTTAAAGGGGATCAGGGTACAGCCTGATGCAATTCTTTTTGAGATCTGACAGAATACATGGGGCCTGAACAGGCCGGCAGAGTCATGGCCTACCAGTGGTAATTCATAATGTGATACTGCACTAGAAATCACCATCTGGGCTCTTCTGGAGAGTTTCCTGGGGATTAGAAGAACTAGTTCATGGCTGCTTTTATTGTGTGACCACTCAATTTATGAACAAGTCATATATTCAGTGGAATAATTAACTGATGTCTGTGTAAAATTATATATGGAGAAGACCACATTTTCCTTGTGCTTTAGGAACCAGTTTTAGACTTTTTAAAGATTAAAAACAAAACAACCAAAAACTAAATCCCTTTTGATTGTTTGTAAATCGTAGACCCTGGAGAAGTGGTAAAACTGAAGATTCTTCTACGGATTGCCTGGTAAGATGTGCTCAGGCCAACAATTTGTGTTTCAAGGAAGCCAAATATAAGATCATACATCTAAGGGCAAATAATGTGTAATTCTCCATGTTATACAACTTTTATTTATATCTGGTAGGAGATCGTATTTCAGACCACCTACCTCTGTAAAAGAGTGCTGTTGGTATTTGTAAAGAACTGAATTAGCAAGTTGCGGGCCTTGGATCAATATTCGCTTCAATACTTCTGGCATCACTACTCATTTTGACCTCCAAAACAGCATGGGGAAAGCTCAGAGGCTGCTTTCCTCTCCTTAAAAAAAAGTATCTGCTGTATATACTGGCATTTTTATTTTTCTGTAAGGAACTGGAAAAGCGGCAAGTTACCCACAGCACAAGGAAAGGGCCGCTCTTTGGCAGCCCGTGCTGTGAGCGAGAGCCAGTTTGGGGAAGGGACAGGTCACCTAATGGTGCCCCTGGCAGTGCTTCACCCCCTGGGGAGATGTGTTCTGTGGCCAGAGCCAACAGGCCGGCTGGGGGTAAGCGAGGCAGGGAACAAGGGCTCCATCAACCCCATTCCCTGACAAATTTTATGTAACGCTAATGGGGGGGCGACTGACACAGAAAGGGCAGCGTTTCCCAGGCCAGGCTGGGTGCAGGCCCCACTGGCCCGAGGCACTGGTGAGGCCTCACCT